ATAAACTAAACAATCAAGAACACCGAGAACCTGGTAAAGGAGTGCTGGGAGCTGGGAAGGAGCAGAACTGTGGATTGTCTGGGCTAAGGAACACTGGTGTAGCAGGAGATGACTCACTGTACTCTTAGTCACCTTTCCAGTCCTGTAACTGCTCAATATCCACAGCTGCAGAAATGCTCAGGCGTCTTGGCATTTCTGGGCACTGAATGTGATGAGCCCTGGGCAGCATTTGGTGAAAGATTTAAAGGTAATACAGTGGCAGGCAATGCCAAGGTCAGCAGCAGGCTGAGGGCCAGGCCAGGCCGCTCCCATTGTCCACAAGCAGGACGTCCTTCTAGCGGGCAGCCCCTCCACCTTTCAGGATGTGTGTCTCAGCATCTGCAAAATTCCCAGAGGATACAGCTTTTTCTGTATTTCTTTGTGCATTTACTAACCCAGTTGGAATGTTTGCTAACACTTTATTCAAAGCTGTCGCGTATAATGCATTATAGCAGGGGTGCCCAGGCATTGCGGAGTAATTCTCAATCGATCACCAAGTGCGTCGCAAGCGTCCGTGCACTTTCGCTCATGCGCCCATTTTTCAGGGTGCAGCTAATCGTGTACTGTAAACATTTCGCACGCAAACATGTCAGAAGCCAAAAGATCAAAAACGTATCATTTTCATTCAGAGTGGAAAGGGATTATTTTTTTGTTTACTCAAAGTCCATATGTCTTATATGCAATGCGAGCATGGCTTTAAAGCTACGAGACAGAGTTCCCTGCAAAAACAGCCATATGCAGCCGAAATGTGCGAGAACTGAAATGTCAGTTAGCAGCACAGCAGTCAATTTTTACCAAGCTGAACACCAAAAGTAAGGCTGTAACAATAGCTTCCCAGTGACGGCGTCCCAGTAAGGTAAAGAAATACATTTATTTACACTTTTTCAATTTGGAGAATTACCTGTATTTGTCTGGATTTGCTGTGTGCCTGTTAACTATGTAGAAAGGCAATAGCTTGAGTAATAATAGAATAATAGAGTAATAGCTATGGCTCCCTATTTGAACTGGTAGATCTCAGCACACTGGCCACTTGAAAAGTAGATCTTGAGTTAAAAAAGGTTGGGCTCCCCTGGATTATAGATACCTTCATAATGCATAATTGAAAATATCAGCTAGAATATAACTTATACATTATACCAAACAGGGGCGTTGCTAGAGATTTTGGAAGCATGTCATACTGGACCCCCCAGTCCAGGCCAATCCAGTTATTTTCCAATTTTTTTAGGGCCCCTGAGTGAGGGGCCCTTGGAATCGTCCTAACCCCCCCCCATGGCACCCCTGACAGCCATCCATCTTCCAGCTGGGTGTTCTCGTCTGGGTCACGGCGGGGCCTGGAGCCGGTACATACAGCACAGGGTGCAAAGCACTGAAAACAAGTTACTCTGCCAAACATGTGACAGTCACTACAGAGAAATGCATCCTGGGAGACTCAGGGAGGTCTTGCCTCTGGCAGACAAACCAAAGGTAGATGGACCGTTTTCAATTACTGAAATTAGTACGTTTAAAATTAGGTCCAAGCAGAATCAAAAAGGAATAACGGTCATCTTTTTTTAATTTTGCTGATTTTTTTTCAACCAAGCACTTTTTGGCACTATGATTGTATATGGTAAAATAAATACCAATGGAGTTTGCAAACATTTACTTCCCAAACATGAGTTTTCCCGTCAACCTTTGCCAAGCACTTTTCCATTTAGCACATTATTTATTTCCTGGTTCACGGTGCGTCTCTCACAGCCGCCCCCATCTCTGTCAGCCCCCATCTCTGCCCTTAAACATTCGCCGCTTGTTCTTTTAACAAGCATAGCTAATACCTCTCAGACTCGGTCTGTGTGTCCGCTGATTCCTGCTTCACATCCAGCTGTGTGGTGCCTGGGAGTTCAGAGACGCGGCCTCCCTGGTCTACTGGAAGGTGCAGTTTGTGGGACGATGCCTCATCAGCGATGTGGAACCTGCGGCCTCATATGGCAGCACGGCCTCTCTGTCCCCATCACATGGCACACGAGCAAGGTGGGGGTGCCATTAATGGGGAGAGACAGCGTGCCTGGGTGCCTTGTTGGTATTATTGGAAGTCAGCGATAACAGACAAGTAACTCATTAGCAGTGTCTTACAGTGACTAACAGGCGATTACCACCTTTGTCATTGAAGTAGACTAAACAGATAGATAACTGATAGATTTTTGGTTTGGCTTTCAGTTCACCCTTCTAGCCTGCTTTTTTTTAACTCATAGACTTATAACATCATATATAGATCATGATTCCCACTGATCAATCAGTCGAGACTAAAAAGTGATGTAACGTAGTTCTGCAAATCAGCATCACCACTGCCTCCTCGTCGGCAAGTTTTAACACTGGCTGGTTAGCAGATTATTTTCAACAGATCTTTTGCCAAACTAGTAAGAAGTAAAAGTGTCTTTGTCCTGTGCGGAGTTTTGCCTGAGCCTTGATGCTGGGCCGGACAGTGAGAGCTACGATGGGGGGGTTTTTCACGGTTTTCACCTTCGCATCAATGCTGCCCCCCCGCTGCCTTGTTTCCAGCCCAGCTGGGCCTCTCTCTGTATCACGTTCCCTCTGTCCAGTCCTGCTGGGACTGTCTGCAGCCCTGGATTATGTCTCTTGGTCCCTTTGGTCCTTAGCAGTGATTTATGTCCCGAGTTCTGTCCCATTTCTTAACACAATTAGAGACTAAATACCATTAAGTAAGTGGATGTAATCAGTGGTGTTGAACATGCCCCCATTCTGACTCTCTGTCACCACGAGCCCAGGGTCGCCCTGGGGTCATCAGATAGGGGGTGTTCCGGTGACAGTCCCCCAGGGACAGGCTGAATACACATGGCTGCAGGGCAGCGCGGGCAGGCCGCCGACAGAGAGCAGGGGCTCCGCCAGCACAGCCCACTACCGAAGCGCGGAGGCCGGGGATGCCTCAGATAGCCAGCCGCAGGCCAGCAGGAGAACGTTCATCACGCCATGAATATTGAACACCGCCATGATGTATGCAAATTTAATAGGTTGTTACCCTTGGCGTCATGTATCATAGGCAGGCTGCAGATAATGTACCCCCCCATAGATGGATCTCAGCATGGTTTTATGAAAACACTCGATTTTCCGTTACAATAACCCAGAGCCACGAGCTGCTGGGGGGGTGGGGCTGCTCACGTTGGCTCACGGAGAATTATTGAGTCATAAAATCAGCATTAATAGTCCAGTTTTCTCTCTGATTTTTACCTGAGGACCACCCTGGCTAATTCCTGGCTAAAATGTGACCTTTGACCTGGTCAGCTAACAGCAGCATCCAGCTGCGATTCGCTGCATTATGACGCACGTGCGGAGGCAGGAGTGGCAGGGTGAGTGGTGCGACTATGCACACATGGGGCTGACGTGAGAGTTTAAAATGATTGCGGTGTCTATGTGCTACCTATAGGCCAAACGTTAACTTCTGTGGTCACGTTACGCAGTGTACGGTTTACACCGCAAATGGTACAAACACTCAGATCTCATTGTAACCACATGCTGAGTGTGGCTCATCCAGAAACAATCCCAGCATGCATCACGTCCATGCCACAGCTGCTCTCCATCTTACTTTCACACCACAGCAATTGTTAGAGCCCAAGATGGCTGCCGATATTAACCCCAGTAAGTCCATCCCCTGCCGGGCAGGGATTTAAAATACATCTGCCTGCCATTGTTTTCTGAAATCAAAGCAGGCAGTGGTGCTGGGTGTTTGATACGTATTCAAGTTTGCTGCAGCCTCTCACACGCTGATCTCTGCCAAACCCCGAGAGGTTACGCAAGCCTGAGCTTGTCCTGGGATGAGTCTGACTGTGTAAATTTGAAAAGTAGGGTCAATGTGTTGCAGTCAAAGCTGACTGGCTGATATTTTGGGGAATTCCAGACTTTGCTAATAATGACAATCCCCCGCTATGGGAGCCAAGTGACACACATGATGCAGTATGTGTCTTTCCCTAGTGCTGCCGGCATCCCAAGCCACGTTTGGTGCTTTCACCTTTAGTGTGCATAGTACTGTGTTGGGGACTTGAACCAACTGCTGGTGCGGGGAGCTTAGACCCCAAGATGTGACTCTGAATACCACAAGTCTCTAAAACACTAACCGCTGCTTTGATAGAAGTGGAGTGTGTGTCCCTCCCTGCCTTCCCATAATCCTCCTGGCTCCCACCAACATGCACCACACTGGGTTCCCGCCGCGAGCGGCTTGCAGCGAGACAGGCAGGATCCCAGCTGCGGCTTCTCTTGGGGCCCCGGCTTCTATGGCGCCAGCCGCACATGAAGCACACTGTTTTCATTTTACACAGCTTGCTGATAGAACTCTGGGAACGTAGCACCGACTGGAGGGTGCTGCTGGTCACATGACCCCGGCAGCTCAGAGCCACGGTTGGCCATCCGCCTCGTGCTGATCCCTTTCGGGGTTCCTGCTCACAACTGGGCTGCTTCTCACTGGTGTCCCCGGTGGCAGGGGTGTGCTGCTGCAGGGTAGTGGGACTGCCAATATGACCCAGCGTATCGCCAGCCTGCATAGGTTCAAACACCGAGGTTCAGCTCGTGTCGTCGTGACCTGCAAGGACACGTTCGCCTGTGTTTTGTGACACCCCTATTAATGTTTTCATTGTGTGGCTTTTCTGGTTATTGGCACTGACAGCCTTGATGAGCCAGGCATTCGGGGGTGGGCATCCTGATCCCTAGGTCACCGCCTTGGGCCCTAAACAGAACAGAGAACCCATGAAGACACCAAGCTCTCCTGGCTTCACCCCACTCCAGAATACCTTTGCCTGACCTCCTGCCGCCCCCCCCCCCTTGCTAGATGATCCGATGGGAGCAGAGCTTCCTGGCACCTGTGTGCGGTGTTAGGCTGGCACCGGCTGTAATGTGATTATGGGATTACCGTGACGTCTAATTAATGTGCACTTAAGGAGCGATGATGGCCAAAGACGGCAAGAAGGGGAGCCAACAACATTTCACTTGTCTGTCTTTATTAAAAAATATAAAAGTGAAAAAAGAACAACAATGAATGGCGGTATACAGACAGAGAGGTACAGTAAACAAGCGGAAGGAGTCGTCGAATATGTGACTGGCGGCTGCCTTACACAAGGTGTCTTCACATTGTCTGGGGAGTGAGGAGAGGACTAAGAGGGTCTGGTTACTTCACCTGGCTCAGAAACTGGCACCATGTCCTCCGTTCATACGCACCGGGCTGCGCATTTAACGTCACATTTAGCGCATTTCATTATCAAACGGACTCACTCTCCTGGTCCAGGCCACACGAGTCCCGCCTGTCACAATGGGGTGTGATGCTGTGACCTCCACAAAGGAATAAGGCACTCTTAGGCACCACCAGTTACTCTGGTGGACAAATAACAGACCAAAGATGGGTCTCACTGATGGAGCCACAGCGAGAGCTACGGAGGAAACCCGGCCAGCGGAAAAGAGCTCAGGTGACACACAATACCAAGATTACAGTCTGATTTCTGAACAAAGGCTCTAGCTTTTCAGGGGCCCTATAGCCAAAGCTTTACTAGGCAGGCAGCCCTACCAAGAAAACTGATGATCATTTCGCTTCCTCCACAATACGGGTAAGTCAGGGGCCCGAGGCAGCTACCTACTCTATAGCTAGAGCCTGTCCTGGGGGAGAGTCTGTTCACCAACAAACAACCAAAAAATGCAAGGTGGTATTCCTTCAGCAGGTCAGTGTGGACGGCATGTTCACCACTCGCTGGTTGTGGTGTCTTTACATTCACATTGAATGTGGTGGGAGTGGGGGGGGGGGGGGTTATTGGGTGGGTATGGCAGGCCAGGGGGGCAGCATGAGGATTGCTGGCTCTGCCGCTAATGTGGCCACAGTGGGGCGCTGTTTGTCAACTGGCCAAGAATCCAGTTCCACTGAATGGTACTTCAGTGTTAAGATAAGCTGACATCAATACAACAGATATTCATTTATAAGGTTTATGAGACATACAAAAATAAAAATTTGGGCCTATCTATTACATAAAGGTATGTAGGCCCATAAAGTCTGTATGTGTTCCCAGCACACACCTTGAATACGCTGATATGCAGAGGTGTGCTGTAGGACAGTTGTATATAAGGCAGATACTCATCTGCGTGCACATTTACAAGCAGTATCCCTAATGTGCTGCACACCAAATACTTAGGGATGCTGGGCTTCCATTGCCTAGGATACCAACGGGGTGGCGGCTGCATGGTTATGGCCCTGCCTTCCTGGGCGTGCACACGGCTCGTTGCCGCAGGCTTCAGAGCATGGTGTGGGAGGGGAAGTGGGCGGAGCATGGGCAGGGCGTGGGCGGAGCAGAGCGCTTCAGTGACCTTTCACCCTCCGTTGGGACAGGAAGTGAGGGGCGGGCAGGGCAGGGCAGGGGTGGCATCCATCTGGCATCTTTTTTGGAACAGGACTTCATGTTCAGGGCCTTGGAGCCACAGCCGGTCAGACGCGTGTCTCGCCGCGCGGCGCTGATGGGCCTCGGGGCAGTTGGCGGCGGCAGCCCAGTGCTGGCGGGTAAGTGCTGGATCAGGACCGGGACCGTGAGCGTTAGGAGTCTGTGTGGTCTGCTGGGGGAGGGGGGAGAGTGGGGCCACCTTTACTTCTGCCAGCCTGCTAATTGGCTTGTTGCTCCTTCTTGGCATTTTTAACTCTGCAAAACAAGAGAGAGAGAAAGCGAGAGAGAGAGGGTTAGGTTAACAAGGAGAGCTGATGCTGAGCCGAGCCATCAAACCAACACCGTCGCCCTGGCAGCTGATAAACTCTCTGGTAAGCAGCCAGCTTCTGTCTCAAAGCTGGATTCTGTACCACTTGTAAGAAGCTGTTTAAAAACAAACTGACAGAATATAATTGGAAGTTTGGGCAGGAGGCCACGAAAGGGGGAGGACAGGAAGACTGGAGCAGAGAAGCTGCTTCCTCAGAGAGCCTGTGCTGCTCAGGACCGGCCTCACGGACAGAGACCTGAAGGGATGTAGTTCAGTTTGGGTTGGGAGGGGTGAGGTCGGGCTGGGACATGACGAGGTCAATGACTGTGGTAGGAAACAGGAGAAGTGAAATACCACGGCGACCTGTTTTAATGCCACACAAGGGGCTGCATGCCTGAGTCCCAGTAACACGCGCGCACACATACACACACACACACACACACACACACACACGCCTCTGAGCATTCTGGGAAGGTGAGAGCTGGCATTGAAACAGGCTCGTATTTCATCTCCCGTTTCCCACGGTTACCCGCTGCTTCTCTTACTTGTCGAAAGGGTTTCGCCTTACTTGTTAAGGGCATTCTTCAGGTACTGCTGCAGCCACTTAGTCTCCGTGCTGATGCACACCTCCTTGTTGGACTTCAGCTTGGCGCTGCAGAGGGAGGGGAGAGGGAAACAGAGGCGTCAGCGGGGCGTTTAACCCAAGCCCTGGGGGCGATACTGACTTGGCAAGAGGGCAACGGAAATTACAGAGGGGGTACAGTATTGTGGCAAGCAGGTGCAGCAAACTACAAGACAGAGACCCCTGTGATTCAGTTCAGGTACAATTAATTCTTTAATTCGCCTTAATAAAGGCAAACGGCGACACACACAGGCGAATTAAAATAACTGCATTACAGATGGAGAGAACAGCACCTCATAACCTCAATGAGAGTAAATATTTAACTCGACGCGTAGGCATCGCTCGATACTGCAGTTCGATAGAGGGGACGATGCCTAGGTGTCTGGAAACATTAACATGATCTCCCAGGATGCCTTGTGGCCGGCAAACTGTGAGTAGTTTAGCGTTTATGTTCATGTGCGAAAGTTATGTAATTCTATGAATGCTGGGAAATGTCAGCTACAAAGCCGTCATCCCTTCTATGGAGCTGGGTTGCGGGGCAGTGCCTACGCGCTACCATGAGAACGTATCGCCGTTAGCTTGATGTGGGGAACCGTTATCCCCCTACTGAGACTGCGTTCTGATTTGCATACATGACGTAAAATTTTGCATTGTGTGGAAGGCACAAATGAGGCGGCACAGTACTAGAACTGAGGGGGCAGTGTGCCAGGCTGGGTCTTACATCGAACGCCATGACCACCCCTCGGGAAACCAAATCTGCACGGTCTGTCCCCACCAATCAGGTGTCTGAATTGCATCTTAAAAAATCACGTCCATATTATGGGTAACGTTTCATATTAACTGCACCTTCATAATGCCTTTGTTGAACATTCATAAGCAGCATGTAAATATACCTTAACATCCTAATATACCTTAACACCATCCATACATTTCTGAAACCTCTTATCCTGTTCAGGGGTGCAGGGGGTCCAGAGCCCATCCCAGAGGCTATGGGCGCAAGGCAGGGAACAACCCAGGACGGGGCGCCAACCCATCACAGGGCACTCACACACCATTCACCCACCCACACACACACACACACCTTGTTAACTCCGATTAGCCTCAGCTTGTTTTTGGACTGAGATGGGGAAACCGGAGTACCTGAAGAAAACCCCCCAACGACACGGGGAGAACATGCAAACTGCACACACACGGAACCCTGGCGGAGACTCGAACCCAGGTCCCAGTGCTAACCACTGCACAGCTGTGCCGCCCCTTATATGATAATAATAAACATTATACTTGTATAGTTGTATAATGTTTGTTATTAATGTATATTTAAGCTGTTAAGGCATGTTAGGATGCTGAGGTATACTTACATGCTGCTTATGAATGTTCTATGAATGCATTATAAAGGCATTATGAAAGTGCAGTTAATGTAAAGCATTACCAAATGTCTCAGTATTTATACTATATTTATTATTTACATTCATTAGCACTACAACCAGCGAGAACGATATGTGACCTTACTGTGTCTCTCCACGCACCATATATCTGAGGCTGACATTAAAGCTAACAGTTAGGCTTTGAGCCGCATGTACAGCGAGGCCCCCATATGTAGGCCGCAGCCACTCGAGCTGCCTGTGTTTTATCCTGAAAGACGCCGCCTTCTCCTCTCTGATAATAATCAATGAGAAACTCATGGCAGCCCGTCGCGATGCCACGCATGTGGTCCTCATCACAGACGGCAGACGCCCACGGGGGCACCGTCCTCAGGTCACGCGTGGAAGTCACCCCCCCAGCACATGTCTGCTGTGTGCAATGAGCGTCGCTTCCCCTGCGAAGTTCTCGCTCTCCCGCCTAGATTTCACCGTGGTTTGACACCGCCCACGCTCGCTCGCGCGATGCGACCCGCGTGACCGTTGTCAGAGGCTGCCGACTGGGCTTCGTTAGCGGGCCCCTGTTCAAAGGGACATGGAGACCACACGATCCGTAATCCTATTTCTGCCCAGACACAAACGGCTTTGAATCCACTCTGATCTTCGGCTGTTCCCTATTTAAATTGGGCCAAGGACACTCGTACGAACAAAAACACGGCAATATTCTGATTATAGCTTTCTGTTCCGGATGAAACCTATAGTATTTACCGAGGGCAAAGTGTAGCTAGAATTTCGGCTCTAGGACACATTACTTGAACTCGCACTACTTCCCTGAAGGTCGTTACTGATTATATCTTTCATCCTAGACGTCTGAACACACGAATCCTATAAGAAGTTTGCACAGAACCCCACATACATCAAACGGTTAGTAACCGCTAACCCTTTAACCAACCTCGCTGAAGAACAGAGGGGAACTGAGAAGTTCCTGTCCTTAGAGATCTTTGTGTTAGATCAAACTCAGACACCGGTCTTTATTTTGATCCAGTCATTTGTAACACGACCTGGGAGACACTTAGCAGTTACTGGGGGAGTTTTCCTCTCTAAGATTCTCCCGTGTATGAATCAGGGGCTCAGTGCCGGGGGCCAGGAGGGCGTCTTTACTTAACAGCTCACTGTTAAGGGCAGAAGTCAGTATAAGAACAGTGTCACTGGTAATGTTATACACAGTGCATAGGACATCAGGCCAGCTCAAGGGAGGACTGTCCCCTGGCATTAACTTCCTGTTGGCCTTTATGTCAAGATCACTGTTTTCCACAAGCCTCAGATGTGGGTGGGGGAGGGGTAACCTATTGAATGCAGGGCCCTCCATCTTTCTATGTTAATGACACTGTGCTGAGCAGCTGCTTTGAATGTGCGGTACTCACATGACTTGGAAGGGGCAGTTCGGGGTCTGCAGGAACCTGAGCTCGCGGATGCTCCGCATGGGCACGTTGCTGATGGATGTGCGGCACCAACAGCGCTCCCACAGGCTGATGGGTTTGGCTGTGGACAGAGACCAGCGAGCGGGGTGAGCACAGACACTGCACAGAGAGAGGAGTGAGACCCCCAGCCCAGGCACTACAAACACCAACACTGCAGAACAGAGGGTGAAAAGTGGAGTGAGACCCCCAACACAGACACTACACCACTGGACACCACAACAGTAAATTGTCAAAATGGGACCAATATAAAAATATTACGAATAAAATATGCGTTCAAAATTCACGATTTGCAGCTGAACATATACTTTCCTGCCTGATTTAACTTTGAACAGCCAATTCAGATTAATCTAGATAATAAACATTTAATTAAAATAGTTAAAGTGTCATAAAATTAGTCACCCTGTCCTTATTGTTTCTGGATGATTCGGTAAATAAAAACAGGATACTGGAAATTGCATTTTCGGAGATGGTGTGAGTAAAAATAAAACAATGTAAATTACCTAAATGAGTTCATCACACAAAACAAATGCGATAACATTCACGCGGCTTATCGTCCTGAAAAAAGCCTAATCTCTGTAATCATCTCATTACTATCAAACGACCCTTTGCTTTGGGTCATTTACAAAAACAGTTGATTTAAGCGCGTCGTCTTTCAGTAGGTGCCACTTTTAAACAAGCCTTAAATGAAGTTGGATTGTCTCTCTACACTTTGTTTAAAAATACGTTTATTTATGTTAAATTGAAACCAGACTTTTAGGGACGATGGTCCTTCGGCAGGCATGTCCTGCAGGAGAGACTCAAGGTGAGAACCAGCCTGGTGCCGCCGGATCATCGGCATCCCAGCCGCAACCCCCCCAAATGCTGATGGTTACTCACATATTATCATGTGAAAGCCAGAGCCATAAAACCCATACCGAAGCGATTGAAGTGAGTACCTGCTGCTCTCACTGCAACTTTTGTCCTAACCCAATTTGGGAGTAATTAAATAAAAACAAAGGAGATAGGAAGTGCACACATTAATCAGCAAAGCAACAGATTACTTTTACTCAGTCGAAATGCTGTCCAAACGCCATACCCGTGGGCTGCAGGTTCAATACCACTACATGGATATAATTTATTCCGCTCACCCTAGTCCGAAAGGTTTTCTTTATCACTGCATTAGTTAGAACAATATATAGTTTAACATTTCGCAAAAAATACAACTTTAGTAACTTTCTAAAAGCAAGAGCGTTGCAGAATATACTATATGAAATCCCGCATTTATACATATGCAATATTATATTTATTGATCTTAATTTAAAAAGTGCATTTAGATTTTACACGTGAATAACTGAACATATCCAGTCCAGAGACCCTCAGCAATACAGCGCTACACCGCCCGGGCGAAGCTTATTAGATAGGCATAGTGACAGGTAAATTGGAGTTAGGGGATCAGGCGCAAATGCATGCTGTGCCGAGTGACGCACACTGGCCGCCTAGGGCAGGCTGCGTGAGGTCTGCTCCAAACTCACCGTGTGATACCAGCGCGCACGCCGCCAGCAGCAGAAGGGTGGTCAGCAGGGGCACTCTGGGGTCCATAGCGGGCGGTGTCCGAGATCTTGTGCTGCTTAGGTTCCTAGCAAAGTCTGTCTTGGGCAGTCTCGTCACGGTGATAAATCCACTCCCTTCTGCAACTCCCACTTTGTAGGGCAGGAGACAAGCGGGGGGCGTGTCCTCTCCTTGATTTATCGCCTTATGAACGGCAAGTTTCCTCTGTGAAAACGTCTGGCTTCACCCCAGGTAGCGGTTCAATTAATGCCCCCCTTGCTCAATTTTTACTGTACTCTCACTGGTGCAATAATCCTGACGTCGTTTCGCCGTGCGGGCACGCGGCATTTACAGACACATCCATTCTCCTTTGATTTTTTTTTAAATGTTATACACATATATGATTGTCTGCATATTGGTTACCCGACCGTAAAAATACGGGCATCGTCTACGCAGCACATGAAATGAATATTACGCACACATAATACTAAATGCTTGTTCGTACATGATGGTGTTTAGTTATCTCACCATACACAACATTCCAATGATTAATTTTTTTAATGCATTGTGGTAGTGATTTCACGCAAAACAACAAACAGCATTTATATTCCAATAACTGGTTTGCCATTTGGCCAAGAGAGCTTCGTGCAGCATGTATTGAATCTCAAAAGAATTACATTCACCTTTAGGTAACATTTTCCATTTATTTTTCCAGTTTAATTTGGCAAATAACCTAATGGCACTGAATTATTTGGACATATAAGAGGATGCAGATGTGAGTCCGGTTCCTGTAGACTGGCTTGAGTTGCACTGAAACAACTTTGTGTCCTGAGCCAGACTTTGTCTTTTACAAACTTCCAAGTTTCTTTGCTTATTCTCTTTTTTATCAACACATCTCGGGAAAAAAAAGACTTGCTCAGGTTAGCATCCTGCCCCCCCCCCCCCCCCCCCCCCCC